CAAATCTTCAAACACGGCTATAGATGACTGGTGCGCGACTGAAAAAAATCCGCCTGGTCCTGGTATCGAACCCAATGGAGCACTCTTCCAACTGAGCTAACGAGGAGTTAGACGTCAGTAGGCAAACAGGTTTTAACACCTGTAACCAGTCTAACAGCAACAAGGGTGAACGGCCTGCATTTTAAGGTTGGGATGATAATACAATAATGCAAAAATTGAATCAAGTTGGACAAGAATAACGATAATAATTCCTGGAGAAGGGGGACAAAGGTAAAGCGCTCCACTGGAAAAGGAGAGGTCGCTGGTTCGATACCGGGACCAGGCGGATTTTTTCAGTCGCGCACCAGTCACTTAGTTGTGTGCCTTCCAGTTTTTCTCTGCTCAATACCAACCGCCTTCAATGACCAGAAATCGCCACACGTTAGTTTTGATTATTATATTAGAATTTGTATGTCCCAACTGAGCACAACTAATATTGTAGATATAAATAAATGTTCATTTCTCCATCACATCCATGATGGAAGGAGACCGAGGAAAAAAGCTGCATAAATGCAGCTTGACGAGTCCTCGGCCCCCTTCCTACAATCAGCAGCAGTGGCAGCTCACAAAGAACACAAAGTAAAAAGAAAAAAATATACAAGCTCAGTTAACAAAAATACAAAAAAAACAAGATCAGTTAACCGAAGCATGCAGAATGTAGCAAGTTTAACTCTAACAACTCAATAAAAAGTCATGATTATCACATCAAAAACATACATATTCAGAGATATCGAGAGCATGATTAAGCACTGTTATATAAGTTATGATAAATTATGAGCTTATGGCGAACAGACATAATAACTATACACACGTCAGGACACTAGAACATTGCTCGATCGAAGTCATCAAATTACACGCTTAAAAAAAGGATTGGATTTTTTTCGGTGTTGATGTTAGGAGTTCCATATTTTGAGTATTCAGATATTTAAGTAGGTTGGGTAATATATTCGATAACATCTGCTCACCCTAAGTAGTTCTACAATTTGGCACTTTCCAGTTGTCTATGTTGCGAGTTGAATATATTGGGTATCTCCTCGGTAAAGAGACGCTAAGTTGACAAGATGACATATATTGTTCATGACTTCGGACTTGTACCTTAGGCATAAACGGTATTTATATAAACTATACGCGTTCAATACATTCAAACTTTCGAAAAGAGATCTGCTGTATGATACCTGTATCTGTCATAAATTAAGCGTTCCGGTGCTCCTGTTTCCTGTGACCGGGGACCTTAAGCAAGCGGCCTATCCCCTTTTCGGAGCATCTACGTAAATGATAACAGTGACAATGACATAACGAAAGAGGCGTAGAAAGCGGAAAGCTGGAATAACACAATGTTTACGATGTTTTTCACGACGAGGGGTCAAGCCGTTTGCCGCACGAGTATACATATATGCACGCCAAGCGGCATGTGCCAACACAATGCCCTTTGTCTCTTCTTAACGGCACCTGCCCCATTGCGGGACGGTCAACCACTGAGTAGCATGTAAACTCAACGAAAACATCAGCTGTGCAAGTTGAACCGATGACTCACAAAAGGTAAGTTTTCGAAGAAAAAAAAAATTGTTGGTAATCAGCCACTTATGGTGTCAATGGTTAAAACGGAGAGCACTATGCAGCATTAGGGAGTTTTAGCGAAACGTTTCCACACGAATGGTTCGTCCAAGAACGCATCGGCGACGCCACTGTGCATGTTATATAGCAGGGGTGGCCAGGCTGACCCGGTCTAAGTGCCGCAAACAAAACCACGAAATGTTGAAGAGTCGCGCGGGTGGGGGGAGGGAGGCGCAAACTTTTGTTCAGAGCAATAAACGGAACTCGAACTACTTTCAATCTATCCGAGTCTAAAGCAGTCCAACTCTGCGTAAGGTAGCAGTGGAACAAGACTACCAAACCCCAACCTGCCTTTCGATTTAAAACGCGTTGCATTTCTCTATTTGCGCAAGTGCTTGTGTGACCGGGAGGGAGGCGTGGAAGTGTGTGTGTGGGAGGGGAGTGGGGAAAGGGTTAGGGTAGCGAGCCGCGAGCCGCACTTTAACACGCGAATAGCCGCATGCGGCTCGCGAGCCGCAGCTTGGCTACCCTTGTTATACAGCATCGAGTCGTTGGGGGCTTCGGAAGGCTCTTCTCGTTCGTTTCTCCAACTCCGGTATCTGGAGTCGTCATCGGAATCTGGAGTCGTCATCAGCAACGTTCACGACTCGGGTAAAAAAAGATGGCGGTCGGTTTGCTCCCCGCTCCAGTCGAGCGCTGGGCTTAGTACAGCTGGAGGCGATTTGCCATCCATGTTACTCTGCTTCATTTGAGAGGTTGAATCAAATCATTTCGAGGACGGCTCACAACGGTTAGCGATCGCGAATGCTGTAATCTACGCAAGTTAGTAATTTATTTGCTATCTGCGGGCTGTCTACTTGTCGAGGCGACCGCGAGCGGACCAAATAGACAGTTTTAGAATAGCGCACGCAAAAGATTTGCGTACTCAAAGAATAGCGTCGTCGCCACTGCGCACGGGCCGAACGCTAAGCACGTTTCGCGCTTTGCGTGCGCTATTTTAGCGTACGATATTTTTCGAAAATTGCGTGTGTACTAGGGGTGTCGCGAACCGGCCGAGGTTCGAGTTCGACCAGGTTCGACTTTTTCGAGCTTTTAGTGGAACGTTCGACGAACCTTGTATTGAGGTTCGACTCGTGTGCGCATGCGCGACAGGCTGACCAGTTGGCTTCGGATTGGTTGGTGATGGCTAAGGAATGAATTAAGGGCAGCGCCGATTGGTTATTTCAGTTAATACAGTACAAAAATTAAGTTATTAACTTCTTCAGTGATTAGAATTAGTTTATTTTAATTGCAGCTGTTCACAAAATTAAAATAACCCTTTGCATAAAAAAATGATCCTCCAAACCTAGACATGCTTGTATCAAGGTTTGGCCACACTGTCCACAAAGTGGAACCGGTCAAATCTGATGAAAAGTTCGAAGGTTTCGAACCCCAAAAGTTTGACCTAAAAATCCGGTTCGACAAAAGTTCGCGACACCCCTAGTGTGTACGCAAAGGATCTTTGCACTCCTCCAAGGAGAATTCCGGTTGAGAATTTGGCTAAAGCCAAGACAAGCACAGGGTTGAAAAATGGCGTCTCCCAGGACCGCGGCTGTGGCAGGCGTCGTGAGCGCGACGTCGGCGGCATCTTCTCGACTCCGATCTTCAACGCAGGACGACATTGCACTCCTCTAAGAGGTGCACATCAGAAACTTTTTGGAAGACCCAGCAAGGTGGGCAACGATCGCCGGCAACTTGCTGCTTGCGACGCGCGTGCGTTTCTCGGCGAAGGCCAGTACTATCTCTTGCAGAGGCGACGCAAGTGGACACGACCGGTCGACCGCTCCCGTCGCATTATCATATTTAAACAAATCTAAAATTTTACTGTGAAGCAATAAACCTTCTTGTTTCTTTCTCAAGTTACAGCACTTCGTGTGTGGAATAAAAAGTAATACGTACTGTGTTTGTGATCTTGCCAGCGGGAGATGCTTGGGCTTTTCTATCGCGACGGAGAAACGCTATCCTGAAACACTCGTGCGCAATGTGTGCAAACTCAAACGCTAAATTTAGCGCTTGCCTGCGCTAAAATGGCGTACGTTATTCTAAAACTCCCTAATGATTTGATTCGATCGTTCAAGTTCAGGGTGACGGAGACACACCACCTACCTTTGCGGTTGTTCAGACTCTTTTTACTCTATCCAGATTGGCGGATCTTGAAATTCCGACCGGTAAATGTTACATTGGCCGTCTTGTTTACGTCAGTCGTACGCCGGAAACACGAGCCGCCACGATTTTGCATGCTGCAGAATATTTCACATGTTTACTAGAAGATGGAGCTGCCGGTCAAACGCAATCATCATCATCGTTTACACGGTTTCGCCCACTGGTCTCTCTGACAATCGCTGGATCGCACTTCCACGCTTGGTCACTGCAGCGCGAGTGAAGCCACTGGACGACCATGTTGCACGTGGCGAAATTGCGTTTTTGCAAGCGTTGCAGAGGCTGGCGGCCAGCGTCCTGAAGGCACGTTTTCTAGTCGTTCGTCGTAATGCGCCGAATAAAATTTTTAAGACACTGCGTAAGCGTTGAAAACACGTGAAAAATTTTCCGAAAGCGCACTGCCGCAGGAAAAAGGCACAACTCGTCGAAAGCAAGTTTCGCCGGTCTCGCGGCGGGATCAAAGCTTATTTGGCACGCCGAAGTGCTGCGTGTCTTCGCCTTCGCATACGCTTTGACACCGAACAAAATTCGACACCGTGTGGATGTGTTTTACGAGCGCAATGTGCGTAAAGCCGTATGTGCCTTTGGAGCAACGTTTTACTTTCTCTGACGACTGTATATGTAACTTACAGCACTCGCAGTTCAGAAACGAGCTTGATCCAGCGTACAGTGGCGATAGAAGAGGGGAGGGGGGGGGGGGGGGGGAGGTACGTCTTCTTTTTCGTCGTTCGCGTTTGAACGCGTTTGAGTGCGCTGCGGCGTGCTTGCTGTCAGGAGCGGTCACTTGCGGTATAGGGGCCAATTGGATTCGCTGCCCGCCCGCGCCACACTCGAGCAAAAAATTGTCCATTTGCTCACTTTCGAGCACTGAGGAGATCCTCGGTGAAAACTGCAGAGCCGCCGCCGTGTTTGTTTGGGTTTCTCAACGAGGTCCATTGCTACTGGTTAAGCGAATGCGCCGATAGCAAGCTTCTATTGGTTGTTCACTGCGGTCAGCTGCGTTGCAACGCAACCGTGCGTACAAGCTTTACGCGTATGCGCTGTGCAACGCAACGCAACGCCTTTCCGCTACTGAACGCGCCGAGTTCAAACACGAAGGTGCGTATGGCCCTCGTGATATATATGTGGTAGCTTGCGCCCCCCCCCCCCCCCCCCCTGAGAAACCCGGCATTTTGAAATGTTTAGATTTTGCTTCGCAGAACGCCCAGGGACCTGACCGTCCAGATTCTTCCCGGTATGGAGCCCACATCCCTCGCGGACAGCGTTCGCCAGCTGACCTGGGGCGCCATCGTGGCCATCGTGGTGGCGGTGCTGGTCGTCGTCGCCTTGCTCGTGGTCATCTGTGTCTCCAGCTACAGAGCGTGCGCACGTCGCAACAGGGTGACCAACTAAAGCCGCGCGATCGGCTTCTATATACTGATGCATCGCACGAAAGACAGTCTGAAGACAATGCCCGAAACGTGCTTTATACCTCGCGTGACTGTGCTGCCCGATAGGTCACGCATCGACTGACTACAGACGTGTCTTGCGAAGCGATAATTGGGAGTTTTAGGAAGGTGTTCTTGCACATCCGATGTGGTACGATGGGCCCTCCAGTGCGAACTACGCATATATTTACCGCATAAGACCCGCACATGCGCCGTTCGTACCGGAAAGTCCGGATACCGTATCGGATGTGCAAAAACGGTTCCCTAAAACTCTCTAATAAGATGCACGGAACTCGCTACATCGCGCGATAGTGTATTTGTATGCATTCCGCGGCAATCGATACTCGACCTTCATTTATCTGCTACAAGCGTAAAATCTATGGGTCACACCAAAACCTATAGGAGGTGTTCACTGGACGCGATATTTGAGGAAACTGCTCACAGCGCATGCCCGGGAAGAGTTTCCCGTCAGCTCTCGGGCAACCGCTTGAGAAGAGGGGAAGGTGAAATCCTCTTATCACCGGGACTCTCCTTTGTAGGACTTAGGCTTCCCCAGACGTCGCTATTCTCCCTCTAGAAGGTTATAGAGGATTAACAAGCCACTCAGAACTCTTACAAAAGCATCGTTCCCCTCTCTCTCCTCCCCGGTGGTAAGAAAGCAGCAGCGGGCTCAGCTATGACCGCCAGTGAATACTCCCTATATAACGTTTTCACATCGCGTCATGGCTTATGTCGGTTTATAGGGTTGCCGAATTGCTTTATATTTTTACATTTATACCGCGCGGTATTTTTTCTAACATTTATTATACTCATCCGTCTTTACGTTGTTCACGCGGCCTTCGACAGAATGATGTGAACTACCCGCCGTCATGTCCACTATATATATCGATAAGGCATATAGTATATATACATTCAAGAGCAAACACATTTAACGTGGGGGGTTGGTTGCAACGAACTGATGATCCAAACCACAGATAAACGGGAGTGAATTATTCGCGATTCATGTTGTCCCCACCTGGCACGTATTGTATGCGCTTCGCATGAGACGTGTGCTCGTTACTTGAAAAAGGTAATGTATTGCAATTACAAATTACCGAGCCTCAAATGTAATGCATCACCGTTACAAATTACTTTCGCTGAAAAGTAACGGATTACTTTACTCGTTACGTTAAGATTTCCTTTCACGTTACTTTTTCCGTATACTTGTCCAGAAAACAATAGAAACAATTTTGATATTTTTCTGGAATTTTCTGAAACACTACTTTGCATTTCTCATACGCCCGTATTACGGTAGTCCTTGTAAAAATAAAATATTGTATTTAAGAGAAAGAGTGTCGGTGCACTCCGTTTACCTGTAAGCTGACAAAGGCACCGAAAGCTGCAACCACACCCGCCATCCCGCTAGCTTACGGCGTCCGGAAATGATCCCTGGAATTCAACAAAGCTAGCGCTGCGCATGCTCCGCTATGAGATTCGGAGCTAAAGAAGCGATCTACCAAAGCTCCCTTTTGGCTCGGGTGTTTCGCCTGTTATTCACAAGAAAAGAAAAACTTGGTTCTTACGTTACAATGTATAGACACTTTACACACGCGCCAGGATATAGCCGCCATTGCTGACCTTCTCTTGTTTTACCGAGATACCGAGCCACTGAAATTGGTGTGGACGAGCCTCCACAAAGGTCAATGCTGGGGAGCAAAATAGAATATAAGATGTCAATAACCTGGACTGCTATGGCAATAATGAAGTGAAGTGAACGTAATAAGGGGGAACAAAAACTGAAGGTCAGTTATGGCGGCGCCCACGCACAGCTGCTGCAAAGCGTCTATAGCCAATGCAGAATGCAGGTGTCCCAGCTTACCTTGATCTGTTCCCGTAGATTAGAGTTTGTGGTTCTTGCTGATGACAATGGTTTTTTTCTTTTATTGGCAAGCAAATATGCACTGAAACTCTAGGTTTCTGTTCTCCTTAACGCCCTGATTTTTAAAGACGTGGTCATGGAGACGACAGACACTCCATGACCGAAAACTCGACCAGTCAGAGAAAAAGTGGCGGTTACGGGTTGTCGATCGTTCATTGGTTCTGACTTTCCTACCAATATTCGTGGAGGCCAGGGGAGGAGAGGGCATTGAGAGCGAGAGAAGCGGTGGCCATCGGTCTCACAAAACAATAGAGGATCACACCACTTTTACGCGTTCTCTCTCTCTCTCTCTGTCAGCACTCCTTAAATGATCTAGAGCCTCCGCCCCCCTTTCATGTTGACAATTGATTTTAAAGTGAGGAGTGGCCTCGACCACCAAGCCCAGACAAGTAAACTAAAAGAAGTATCGTCCGTACCCTCAAAGACCATGCTCTTAGCCTCGCGCCGGGCGCTTTTCAACGTGCCTCAAGAGCCTGCTATACTCCGTTTCACCTTATGTTGTACTGCAGCGAAGGCTAGAAGCGCGAGCTCATACCGTTGACAGCTGCCCTTAAAGAGGTACTTCAACGAAATTTGAAATATTCCCCGCGTGTTCAAAAATAGGTTGAATATGATCCACAATATCCGTAAATGACAATCGCACGTTTGTATTTTGAGCCTGGTGGCGCTATTTTTCGTTATAAACGGCCCACTCTGGCAAGCGCTCGGAGAAGGCCCAGCGGAGACCACGTGACATCCAACGCAATCGTGACGTAGGTCGTCTCAAGACGAGCAAAGCTACGGCGATGCTGACGTCGAGAGGATGGCCTAGTCGTTCCAGCCACCGAAGCGACTGCTTTTGTACGAATTTTGAGTGACGGATATATCTTCTATAATCTTGTAGGGGGACAATAGCGACTTCTGCGACACACAAAAGGCATTCTCGGGAAGAGGGGAGTTCCTCTTTCCCCTCTTCTCTCGTCGTAGCCGGAGGCGAGACACTCACCGTCACTAGCTGTCAAGGTTCCTAGACGGGCATTACAAGCGAGGCGTTAGCGACATCCACCAGGTGCTCTTTGCTAATCGTTTAATTCGTTTTAAAATTCCTTTTCGAGACTTTTTAACAAGATATTGGCATGTTCAATATGATACTGCTCCTTTGAACAAATATAGACCAAAAAAGGAGCGCCGAAATGTCGTTGTAGTATCCCTTTAAAGGGATATTTCAACGAAATTTTAAATATTCCCGTCGTGTTCAAAAATAGGTTGAATATGATCCACAATATCCGTAAATGACAGTCGCACGTTTGTATTTTGATCCTGGTGGCTGTATTTTTCGTTACAAACGGCCCACTCTGGCAAGCGCTCGGAGAAGGCCCAGCTTAGAGCACGTGACATCTAACGCAATCGTGACGTAGGTCGTCTCAAGACGAGCAAAGCTACGGCGAGGCTGACGTCGAGAGGATGGCCTAGTCGTTCCAGCCACCGAAGCGGCTGCTTTTGTACGAATTTTGAGTGACGGGTTAATCTTCTATATTCTTCTAGGGGGACAATAGCGACTTCTGCGACACACAAAAGGGATTCTCGGGAAGAGGGGAGTTCCTCCTTCCCCCCTTCTCTCATCGTGGGCGGAGACGAGACAACCTCCGTCACTAGCTGTCAAGGTTCCTAGACGAGCATTACAAACGAGGCGTTAGCGACATCCACCAGGTGCTCTCTGCTAATCGTTTATTTCGTTTTAAAATTCCTTTTCGAGACATTTTTAGCAAGATATTGGTATGTTTCATGTGATACTGCTCTTTTGAACACATATAGACCAAAAAATGAGCGCCGAAATTTCGTTGTAGTATCCCTTTAATGCACGAGAGCTTTTGCAACCAAGACGTGCCCTAGAACAAGGAGCTCGCGCTTGTAGCTTTTCCTGCGGTACATTATAAGGTGAAATAGATTACAGAACAAAGTAGCGCATATCAAAAACAAAAAGAACTCGACCCCTCGCGCGAGGCTACATCACATATTATGCGAGTTGTGAACCCGCGCATCGAGGGGGTACGTACCTGCGTTTGATGTATGTGCAGGTGGCGGGAGACGTCGAAGAAGTTGAAAAGGGTGAAACTGTGTAAAAGACAGAAACAAATAAACACGAAGAGCTTTCTCCTCCCCGGGGGAAAAAGAAAAACACAATGGAAGGCGACGGAGAGCCTACTCGGCGTTGTCTTACTTGATCCTTGTCTTTCGTGTATTTGTACATGCCTTGCCCGTTTTTCTAGTGGTTCTAGTGACCGGTCATACAAACAATCGTATTTTCTTTTCTGCTATTCTCCCCTTCCTGATGTTTTCTATTTTGTAGAACTTGCTTTCCTTATGGTGCTGAATTTTCTGCTCGTATTGCTGCAGTTATTGTTTTATGCAAATATTTTTAGAAAGTAACAAGTAGTTAAAGTAATCTGTTACCAATATTTTGTAACGAAATTACATTACAAATTACTTTTGAAAAAAGTAACACGGTAATTACAAAATTACTTGAAAACGTAATGGATTACAAGTAATCCGTTACTTGTAAAGGATTACTTCTCAAGTCTGCTTCGCATTCATCGTAAAATTTGCTTTCATGACTGGAGATGATTGTTTCGTTCAGAACGCCGCCTTTTGGTTGGACGTACACACGTTTGCGAGTCCGGTCTCAGGGCGCCACCACCTTGCTCGGTTGGGACACGGGTGGACGCTTCATAATTCGTTTTCGAAACCTTGCTAAGGCGTCGCAACCGGATTTATGGCCTCGCCCAAGTGCACCCCACTGAGCAAGATGGCGGCGCAGTAAGACCGGACTTGCAAACGTGTATAGACCTTTTCCACAAGGGCGCCGCCATCTTGAAATGTCGTCACTTCCAGTATGGGCGAAAACATTGTTTTGCCGCCGCCACGCCAATAGAAGGCATTTAGGACATAAACCTAACCGTCACAGATTCTCGTCTTGGCTCCCCTCTATTTTTTTTGCTAGTTATATTTTGAAACGTTCTATTATTTTGTCGTCGCCCATACTGGAAGTGACGACAATTCAAGATGGCGGCGCCCCTGTGGAAAATGTCTATACACGTTTGCAAGTGCGGCTTCAGGGCGCTGCCATCTTGTTCGGGGTGCGCTTGGACGCGTCATAATCCGATTACGAACCTTTGCTAAGCCGTCGTAATCGGATTATGGCCGCGTCCAAGCGCACCCCAACTGAGCAAGATGGCGGCGCCCTGAGACAGGACTTGCAAACGTGTATACACCTTTCCAAAAAACACTCGACCCCAGGGGCAACAGACCGTTCTCGAGCCCAGTCACTGAGTTTGAGGCTAGACTCTCACCGGCGTCCCTCCTAACCCTAACCGAGTGGACTGATTTCAATAGGTGCAGCCTGCGTAGGCGCAGTTTCAAACGCTGCTGGCGGCTAAATTCTCGTCTTTTCCCGCTATATTTTGTGTTTCATGGTACATGTATGTTCCCGAGGACATTGAGAAAGCATTGTGCCACATTTAAAAAAAAAAAAGCAAAAAAAGAAAAAAAAAAAAGCTGTAAACTATTTTTGTTGGGTAAGCGCGCGACAGAACGAATGCGACTGGAAAGTATAGTTCTAGTTATTTGTTTTTTCTTACGATAAGTTTTGACGGCGTCGCGGGATTCGCCGCATGTTAAACGACAAAGCGCTTTGCTGTCAAAAATAAATTGCAACAGAACAGGGCCGAAAGTCATGCATTTTTCACGCTCACAAATAACATGTTTACCGATGGACAGGACACGGACATACGATTGAGGAAGTGTTAACATTCGAACAATATATCGTACGTACCACACGATGCAGCGTTATCCGAAAAGAGTTTATTTAAGAAAGATCTCAAATAACACAGTCACAGTCGACGACAGTCACAGCTTGACGATCGGACGGAATCCGAGATGACTTCGTTTTGGGGCACGTTTTTGGGGAGAGCTTCCTTCTTTCACAACCGCACCAAGGCAAAGAAACAAACGCGACTGACCCGTTTCTCACCCCAACCCGGACAACTATTTTTGGAGATGACTGAGGATTCTACGCGGATTATCTCTGGGAGGGGGGAGAACAATGTTCGCAAAATCGCGTCGAGGGTCGTTCTACGTCCTTCACCTCCTTCGTTTCCCGTGAATGTAAAACAGAAAAGCTTGAATGGCAGGCACTTGCCAGCCTTAATTCTCACAATGGAAGATAACACAAAAAGGGTACGCAGCACGCATAAAAAAAAATTAGGTGGAAACTTTCAAAAGGGGCGAGAAAACGTCGAATGCAAAACCGCAAAAACGTAGGTAGAGAACCGCGCTGAGCGGGTCTTCACAGTCCCAGAGAGTGGCAGAAAACTTTTAGTTGATAGAGGGCGCGAGAGTCGCACCAGCCGCATCAGCATCAGCAACATGGCGGCGGCCTAGGAGCGTTTTTTGGAAAGGTGTATAGGCTCCCGACGAAAGGAATGATTTGAGCGCACTCTGGTCAGACTTGATCATGCGTCATACAAAAGAGACTTGGTGTTCGATGCCGACACGATCATACATATATTCACCAACGTAACACCGAAAGCGGCGGTTGGCCAGTAGAAAGGATTTTAACCCCGATCAATATATAAGCCTCTTGTCAAGATTCTAGCCTTAACCAGCGTTCACCCTTTGTCAACGCCGCAGGCAGAGGCTGCGCCTTCGGTTGTGCCCCAGGTCCGGCCGCCAAACGTTGTCGCAGTGCAGTGTCCCCCTGGGCCACCGTCGTTCACGCCTGTGCCCCAACCCTACCCCGGATCGTCTTGGATGACTTCGCCGGCTGACTACGCGCCGAAGCCCTCAAGATGGTTGGCGGAAAAAAGCTCACCGGCGATTAACTCGCCGGAACAGAGCACACCGGACATAAGACCACCTGGCATAAGCCCACCTGAGATTAGCTCACCGAAGATAGGCTCACGGAAGGTACTTCCACGACGCATACACCCGCCGAAGATGAGCTCACCTGACATCAGCTCACCGGAAAAGAGGTCAGCGCAGATAAACTTCGGGGACATAAGCTCACCGGAGAGAGGCTCAACGGCGACAAGCTCACTGCAAAATCGTCAGATGCGGAGAAAAGCTGAGGGGTCATTCAACGGCCCTTCAGCTTTTCTGGAAGGGCCCTTCAACGGATGCGAAAGAAAGCTCACCGAAAGATCCGCAACTTTGCGAGGGATGACTCTCGCAAAAACCCGTATGCAGTCTTATCTTTTCAATGAGTACAGTGAGATCGAAGGGAGGACAACACATTTCTTGTCCTAGTGCCTTCTTCTGACCTGTCATTTTCCAACTGGCTACATAAGGGCCGTTAAAATCGCACCACATATTTACCTTTCTTACTTTTTTTTTTTTTACAGTGAAGTTGTGTATGATTTGCAGGTGGGATTTTTTCCTGTCCGTCGACAGAAAACCGACGCGCGCGCCTTATTACCGTTCGCGCAGGCTTTATCATTTAGGGTGTGGTTTCGACACTTGTTTCAATAAGACCACAAGTGTCAAAACCACTTGAGGATATAAGGAGCGCGAGAAGACGATAAGCACGTAATGCTCCCCGCATGCGTTTCTCTGCAAAGACTGCTGTTGCATAAGGTGCCGCGGCAACGGCAGAAACAGAGTACGGTCGTGCTCCAAAATTTACTTGACCTTACTCCAGGGTAAGGGTTTTGTGCCCTTGCCATTCCAAAACCTACCCACGTCCTGCGCTTTTCATTCTGTGATGTTCACGTGACACAACCTGCCGGAGTAACTCGGATTTATTTGGGTAAGATTTGGAACACAACCTAGGTGTTGAGTGACGTCACTAGCCCCGCTAGCAATGCGAAGTACGTAGCATTTCTCGGTAAAGATTGGGATTGCTAAAGCTGTCGCACCAACAACAACGTACGAAGTCTTTCATATAAAAAAATGTTTTGGTACAGTGCATTTACTTTTCTTTCGTCAATCATTTGGTATAGACTTACAAACATGAACTACCGCTTGCGTACCAAGCGACTTCCGGTCGCACCGAGTGCAAGCCTGTTGAGCTTGCTTATATCACCAGTGCTAGAAAGCATAAATGCTACACGGGCAGCAAAGTTGGAGATTTAACGAGGGCCCCCGGCGGTATAATATTGCATTTTGGAGGAGGCAAGGAATATTCGAAACATTTTAACAGATCTCGCACTCCTTGCTTCTTTTGTCTTTCACATGTAGAATTGATGGTTAAACGTTTCATCTACATTTCAAGCAGCGGTGTTAAGGTGGCCTTTGTTCATTCTTTTTATAAACTGGAAGTTCTCTAGCAAGCCAAAAACTGGAGCACCACCTGGTGGCGTTTGCCATAAAGAGGGTCTATGGTGCAGCGGGCAATCGTTGCAGGTGATACCACATCTTCGCTGTCAAACCACCTTCACGGCGTAGATTGGAGCCTTAAATTTTTTTTTTGAGGAGCGATATTTTTATTTAAATGTTTTGTTTATTTTTTATTGGATAGGGGATGGCAAAGCAGCGTTCTCTAACCGTGAAACAGTTCTGCTTTGCTGTCATGGAGGCCATTTCGACGACAATATGAAACACATCTGAGCAAAAAATGCGTCGCATCGCGTCGTTGAGCAGCGTAACCTTGACAATCATAGTTGACGCTGGGCCGTTGTGGTGCTGCATTGGGCTACGTCATAGCGTCGGTGGTGCTTTCTATGGTTACGCCGTGCAGCAGCGCGAGGCGTGGTGATTCTTGCTCACCCGTGTTTCAGGCTTAACAGTGGGAACAAAAAAGTGCAGCTGGATTGATACGATTGAGTTTACCGAGAACCTGTAGCGAGATAAAGCGTTAGAATACTCCGTGCTATAGAAACATGGCCGCTGCCACAACGATCGAGGACAAAGACCAGCGATGCAAATAGGCACACAATAAATATCGTACAATTAAAAACAAAAACGTCAGGGCCAGTGGGGTTTAAAAAACACCTGCCTGGACTATTTTCAACACCTGCAAGTTGCGACCCTACTTGAATATGACGCGAATGGGATTCCATTAACCTGCCTCCACAGTTGACCCTGTAAATGTTACGTCACTACTCCAGACAAACCGTTGCTGGGGGCGTTGCTATAGACGAATAAATGGAACAGGACTTGACTCAGGAAGAACCCTTTTTCAAATATCGAATGTGGAATTGAAACGTCTAGAAATAATAGATGCGAAGCCTAGATTTACCTACTATGACATAAGTTTGTCGAGAATCGGCTGTTTCTGAAATATTTGCCACAGCAACTTCCGGGCCTCGAGACGTCTAAAGATGCCTGCTGCAGACGACGAACCCGTACGCAATGACTGATGTATTCCGTCTGGAATAATTTGAATCGCTTGCATAATTATATGATTTTGATCATGTATTTATTGTGAGCATGGCAGGTCTAAGAAAACTCATGCGGTTTTGTAAGAACGAATTTTACTTACGTGCGATACGGGATACTGTCATGGGCGTGCCAACCGCGGAGGCACGGGGAGCAAATGCCCCCCCCCCCCCCCCCTTCCCCTAAAACAGCCGCCACTCTCCGGCACCACCCTCCGGCCCTGGTGGGGGTGTCTGGTCTGCCCCCCCCCCCCCCCCCCCCCCCTTACTGAAAAACAAGTAGGTACGCCGCTGGATACTGTCTGAAGATCTGCTAAAAATACAACGAGAGAAGCATCTGCTTAGGACATGATATCAAATTTGCGTCAGGCCCTCTTTTTGGTTTTGCAGTTGACGTGTATTGTAATGACGGTGCAACTATTTTGACTCTAACATGAACAACCAAAGAACCCAGACTTGGCTTTTCAGGCTCGCAATATGGGTGTGTGTTTCGCACACCTGCTTATCATCATCGCCATCATCATCATCATTACCACCACCACCATCATCATCATCATAACACTGATACAAATATACTGCTGCTTTCTTCAGTTTTTAGTTAGACTCCAAATAGCGAAAACAGCTGGATGATAACATCGGGGTATATCTGTTACAGACAGTGCGTTTGATCGCACAAATGTGCAAGGAAGTCACTTCTATGCCGTCAGAACTCCTCAAAATCTGTGCTGGCCTACACTTCGACGTTGATGGACTTCGCGTCGTCGTCGTACGTGATTCGGCTTCACGGTGTTTTCACCATTTCAAATATCCCACAGAAAGTTCACTCCGATAACTGAGGTTTCGTCGCTCATCGCCAACTTAATTTAACGCGATTGCGTACTCCCTCCGAAAGAACCACGTTGAACCCGCGAAGCCATTGTTTCGTCTGCTAGCGAGGCAAAACCGGTTGTGAAACTTGATTGCTGGCTTCTGTCATCGCTTTATGGCACTGAGACGATAGAAGACGTCTTCGTGACTAGACATCGAGAAGACACAATGCTTAGAAAAGCATTCTTTACTTTTTTTTATCGGACAATTTTTAATCTCACGCGTCGAGCACGTCATGCATTTGCTCATAACAACGGCCCTAGCAAACGGTTTCTTTGTTTGAAGCACAGCGCCATATTGTGACGTCATTACTTACGGAGTCAATAACTAAGACTCGCAAAAAATATATATATATTAATATATATATTTTTTTTCGACGCTTGTTGCGGAGTCGTTTTTACGCGAAGCTGACGACGCGAAAACAATGATGCCTATAGAGCGCATATACTTTAAATGGTGTAAGTTCTCTCGCAATTAAACGAAGTTATTTCTCGTTTACACTTTGCTGGAATCTTTAGAAATAACTCGTAAGTAATATGCGCATCCTCAAGTGGCGTAATGGGGCCCCTTTCAAAAGTGCGCGTCCCCTAGCTATGCGGAAAACAAGTCGTCTGCTTCTTCCGAAGCAGACGAAGCCGAGTTCCGATTGGCTTTGATTAGAAGGATGGCGGGTAAACCTCAATGCTGGATGCCTTGAGGTCTACCCACTATTTTTTTTTTCTTTTCAGTCAGCCAATAAGAGCTCGGCGTTTTGACATCATCGCAACCCCTGTTCAAGAAGCAGACGAATTCGAGCTCCGCATAGCTGCAGCGCCAATTATCAGTCTGCCATAGCTTGGGCACGCACTCTAAGTTCGCTGACGCGGCGTTAGGCGCGAACTCGGCTCTGCTCGTATCCAGGCCGAGTGCGGCGTCATCGTTCGGAGAGGACTCGGATCCAATTAAGTCGCTAGATTAGAGCTTCCTACAAGCAGCGACCTTCTTTGAAGCGCCAACTGCTTGACGGTGCAGGTTTTAGGAAGCGAACGGCGGTGCACAGGCACAGCATAGGTTTGAACTGAATGCCGACATTTTGTTCCAACGGAATGTGCTTTGTCATTTGTATTGGTTGTCGTTACTGGTAAAAGAAGTATCAAGGGACTTTAATTGTGTCTGAAGTACCTAGATAAGAGGTTTCTACAAGTAGCGACGTTCTTTGAAGTGCCTAATGCATGACGGTGCAGGTTTTAGGAAGCAAACGGCGGCACAGAACAGAGGTTTGAACTGAAATTCCAGCGGAATGTGCTTTGTCGCTTGTATTGGTTGTCGTTACTTGTAAAAGGAGTATCAAGGGACTCTAGGATCCAATCCCTCGCTTCGTGGTCGAGGAATGGCGACCGCCAAGGTTGCTTGATGAAGTTTTTCTTAAAAGGGTCAATTTTTTGATAACCTGCATGCCGTCTTTTCAGTTATCCAAGGCCACAGACTTTCCTGTTTTAACCCAAGAACGCGGAAAACCATCTGGCGGCGACTAAAATACGGAATCAAACAAGACCGTAAAACACCGGTTTCTAGAATTTTTTTTTCTTTTTTTTTTTTTCCTCTGAGCAGCGGTTACTTTTGCCGGAGACGTTCGTCGGGCATTTATTTATTTATTTTATTTTATTTTTCTGCTGCTCTCGAGGCTCCATCTCCAGTGAGATAGCAAAATCAGTAATATTAATCGGCTAAAAAAAGAAAAAAAGATTAGCACAGGTGATTGACGAGTCGACCGAGTCGGTGTCATCATAGAGTTGTTGCTGCGAAGATTAAGGGGGGGGGGGGGGGGGGGGGGGGTTGTTCGAGGTAGACAGTTATCACGCTTGACGAATTAATATTGTTTTTCTTAGAGAGCGCTTTGTTTTTATTGCTTATTAAGGAGCATGCATGTGCACAAATGTGTTTCTTTCGTTTTTCTTACTTTGCACAGGTACACCTTTTACAGAGTTGTATGAGTGTACATGTAAGCTGCCGTTTCTGGACGTTAGCCAATATATTTTTCACGCCTCGCGCGATTCGCTCTGTGGCATTCTTGCCGGCAAAGGTCGCACTCCAATGAGTGCGTAGCTATAAGAAGGTCATCCG